CCAAGCAAAGAAACTCAACTTTAGCTACTACGATAGAATACCTGCCCTCAACAATGTAGCCACACAGCGAGTGTCTGGTGTTTTAGTGATGATGTATTATATTACGACTATTGTTTGGAACAATCAGTTAAACGTAGAATTGCAGTAAATGGGATTGTTCCCAGTTAACTGCATTCACTCTAAACAGTTTATACAGCACACATAATAAATATTGGACGCTTATGAAGGTATATAAGGACACACGATTACCGAGTAGAGCATAGTTGAACATTTAACACCATAATTAACAGACCTTGAAGTTAATTATAGTGACTTTAGACTAGTTTCTCTGTCAAAAAACAAAAAAAAAAAATAAATAAAATAAAATGACGAAGTTATTTGCTTGCACTATCTTGCTAGTGATCTTAGCATACTCTAGTAATACATTCGCCTCTGATATTGAAGGTGGTGTCCTGACGAACATTCAAGCGCATCCCTACCTCGTTTCAATACAAGATAAAGATGGCTCACTAATCTGTGGTGGTGCTTTAATTAATGAGAATACCGTTGTGACTGCTGCGCAATGCTTGGCTTTCTACGATGCTTCCCAACTGGCTGTCGGTATTAATAATGGCGAAAAAATCATTGAAATCTTGGCACAAAGTTTCAATCCACGATTTGATTTTGTCACCATGGAGAACGATGTGGCCGTTTTGAAAATAGCTGAATCAGTGGAAAGTGGTTCCATTGAGTTAGCCAGCGAACTGCCGGCAAACGGTGCCAAAGGTGTGGTAACCGGTTGGGCAGCAAACAACAGTCTCGTTGATGTGGCAGTGAGAACAATTGATGCCGAGGAATGCGGTTCCGGTGACTATAAGTACAGCGAGGATGAAGTGTTGAATACCATGTTGTGTGGCATTGCTAGTAATCTGCAAGCTTGTAATGGTCAAGCTGGTGATCCATTAGTGGTTGATAATCAGCTGGTCGGTTTGGTTTCCTGGGGTTATGGTTGCGGCAACAAAGGTAATCCAGCTGTCTTCACTGATATTGCAGCCGAGCGTTCGTGGATCATTGAAACCGCTAATAAACTTTAAATTATATTATATTATTATAAATTTAAATAATAAATTACATTTATGTTTGAAGCAGAAGACTGTATTTTATTGTTACAGTTAAAGTTAAAGATTGTATCGAAAACAGGCTTGTTCTGGGACTTGCTYCGTGGTCTGTACTAGAGTTGTAAGCCAGTTGCAGTACAGGGTTTGTCTGGAAAGTAGTAGGACTGATTTTCTTCCGCCGCAGCTGTACTTCGGAGCGTGCGCTCTCGGTAGAGGGCGTTCCTGGTTAACGAACGAGCGGCTGGTCAGTTGTCTCCGTGCCCCTGGAGAGTCAGGACAAASATTTTCACGCGACGTGTTTTTGTGAGTGGTGCAAGTTGAAAATGCATCGATCGTTAGAGCAGAGTTAGGTGATTAAATGAACGCCAGTAAGACGTTTGATATGATCAAGCAGGTTTACCCAGATGTTGCATTAGCAAGAAGTAGTATATTTCGGTGGCACCATGCCTTTTGGGAGGGCCGTAAGGGGGTCTCTGCTGAAGACCGTGCTGGGAGCTCTGCGACTTTGTTGAATATTTGAACTCAGACCGACGACTAAGTATTCGTTTAATAACCAGATATTAAGTTTATCAAAATATATTTATCATGATATTTTGACATGCGCAAGCCATCGCAGCCGATTGGATGCTCGACCACGACAAGGCCCCGGCTCACACCGCCTTTCTTGTGAACAGATGCCTAACCAAGGTCGGCACCCAACGCTTCCGCAGCCGCCCTACAGCCCAGACATGACACTCCGGACTTTTTTTRTTTCCTTGCCCCTGAAAAGTCTGACGAAAGGAAAGCATTTTGAGACGTCAGAAGGGATCCCAGCAGCACGCATTTTGGCAATCAAGGTTATTCCAGAGAATAGAATAATGACTATCATTTCTGTGACGGCTCCATTATTGCAAAAGATGTCGTGCTGACTGCACACCTAAGCCCACTCTTATTGTCAATATGACGCCTAATATRTCTTCGACTCGCCATTTCCCTGCTCAAAAGGTTTATGCTCTCAACATCAAAAATAAAGTTACATTCAGTAATATGATGTGAGGAATATTAATAGCGGTGTGCTAATATATCTCAACTTGATTATTGCTATGAATCACGGTCTGCTATTGTCGCATAAAGTTGAACTAATTTCAAAGTGGTGTTCTGTTGGAAGTTCATTGCTTTGTCTGGTTTATTATCAGTTCATTAACTTACATTTATATTTTAGGCTTTTGTCGTAACTGTTACGCTAATGAAACTATTACTAAATCATTGTTATTAACTGTTTGAAAATTATAAAAATGAATGCCCTCAAGAAGATAAATATTCCAGCTTTGAAAAGTAATAATTGTCAGAAGTAATTTAAAACAGTGCTTATTAAGATGTATACTTTGTTAGTTTGTCGTTTGTTGCTGGTGATTTCAGCGTTCGCCACTAATACGTACGCTGACGGAATTGAAGGTGGCGTAGCCATTACAATTAAGGCACATGCTTATCTGGCCTCCATACACGAGCACATGCGCCTGCGTTGGCGCTCTAATCAGTTCTAAAATTGTGGTTACTGCTGCACAGTGTTTGACTTTATACGATAGTTGGGGTAGTTAACTGTTGCTTATACCTACACGCTATCAGAAAAGTGTCGCCTCCATAAGTTCAGTACGAAAGTATCTGAATGTAGCCTAAATCTTATCTATTGTCAATTAAGAATGCTAAATTGGCAACAAAGTTTATTTTAAAATATTAATTAATCAGCAAAGAAATATGTCAAATAATGGAATAATGAAACATATGTATATTCAATTTATCAACATCAAAAGTAAACCATAATTTAATTGGAAACTTGAGATAACTTTGTAGAAGAAATCAGTCTTCGCATTCGTCATCAGTTTTCAAATGGTGAACTGGACACCGTTTATTAAGAGAAACAGTACAGGGTTTGTCCGGAATGTAATAGRACTGATCAAGCAGGCTTACCCAGGTCGGACGGAGTCGCTGATGAAGACAAAAAAAGGGAAGAATGATCAAATGTGAAATCCAATGTGAAAACGATTCTCATTGCCTTTTTTGACATCAAAGGCATGGTCCACCATGAATTTGTTCGCCCTGGACAAATTGTCAACGCCAAGTTTTATGTGGAAGTCCTCAAGAGAGCAAAGGTCAATCGGTCCGACAAGACATCGCAGCCGATTGAAAGTTGCACCAAGAACGGCTACTTAACTAAGGCCGGCATCTTAACGTTTCCGTTGCCGCACAACAGCCCAGATGTGGTCCCTGGACTTTTTTTATTTCCATGCCTTTTTGCATTTTGAGACGACAGAGGGGATCCAAGCAGCATGCACCTTAGTTCTCAAGGCAATTCCGGAGAATGTCCTCCGTGACGCCTTCAATGTTGGAAATCTCGCTGACAGCGCTGCATTGATGAAGAAGGAGCCTATTTTGAAAGTGTTTAAAGAATTGTAGCGATTGGTTCAATAAATTTTTTAAATCGACTTATCCATATTACTTTACGGACAAATCCTGTTTTTTTTTTTTTAAACAGCTTAATGAAAATTAAGTCAACGAAGAGTCTGTAGATTATACTTGACATCCGGCTAATACATACACAAGTGAAGTATGAGGAGATGCTTTCTGSCAGTTAGGTCATTGGAGACGGACCAGACGTCGCAGGGATACGGTATCTTGCTCGATCTTGGTAATGAACTAGGGTTATGCTGGCATTGCGAATTAAACATATCTTTTCATTATCCAGATTGGACCAATGGTTCTGTGATGACACTTCCAACGAACGGCGAAATCTACATATTCACTGACGAATCCAAGGATGAAACAGAAACAGGAGCAGGTTTCTTCTGCAGTAATCCATATATCAAAGGCAGCTTCAAACTAAACGACTAGAATGCAGATTTTCAGGTCGAAATTGTGCCAGGCAAAGGAGATCTTAGTAACGTCGYAGGGGTCATCACAGGACACATACCCTTAAAATCACACCTTAAAAAGTTTAAAATATGTATTCGGCGGAATGCAGAGCGTGCGCGGAGGATGATGAGATACTACAACTGTCTCTTATACACATCTAGATGTGTATAAGAGACAGTCACAGGACACATACCCTTAAAATCACACCTTAAAAAGTTTAAAATATGTATTCGGCGGAATGCAGAGCGTGCGCGGAGGATGATGAGATACTACAACTTAAGATACATTGAGTAGTTGCGGTGGTTTTTTCATCAAATCCACTGAGAAGCTGAATAAGATTTAAATTGGTTTTCACCCGGGAGCAGAATGGACCTAATGATGACCTAAGTGGCCAACCGGACAGTATTGTAAGCTGGTACCAAACTGATAATAACTTTTCCATACTCAGGCAATCCAAACATAACGGTATGCCTTTACACTCAGTGCTACCGGGCAACCCATTATTATTGACAGTACTGGAGAAACCGATAATAAAATAGTTTCGCAAAAATATTAAATCACTTTATCTGCGTTTTTAATATGAACATATATTATATTATTATCGCTGAAACTTTCCCAATTCTCAAGTGGGCATATTTCATTTTAATAAGTTTTAACTTTAGTGTGATTATTTTACTCAGATTTTGTCACAAAATTCGCAGTGAGGCAGTGTACACTCGCGTGTCGTGAAGACAATACTCGGTTAAATTGCAAAATGACTAACTACGCGTTTAATATTTTGTGTGTCTCTTCTATTTTCCTTTTGGTGGTCATGTCCAGCGCAGATGCGACTCATCTCGTCAATGTTCAAGTCACGGATTCGCGAATTGTTGGCGGCAAAGTGGTCAATATTATACAGTACCCACACCAGGTCAGTCTACGTGTTAGGAATGCCTCTATAACGGGAGACCCCTACGACCATTCATGTGGTGGCAGCATATATTCTGATCGTATTGTCGTAACGGCATCACATTGCGTTGATCATAAGGAGAGCAACGAACTTATGGTTGTTGTAGGCACGAATCAACGCGATGGTGCTGACGGGGTAATAGTACCGGTTAAAGAGATTCTGATGCACGAAGAATATAATGAAGAACTTGTGGATAACGATATTGCTTTGTTGGTACTTGCCGCTGCGTTGCCAATAAATAATTTCACTATTAAACCAATTGAACTGATCGAGGTGCAACCGCAACATGGAGAAATCGCTACAGTAACCGGTTGGGGCGTAGACGCTAAAGGTCGGATTCCCGACTTCTTGCACGAAGTGCAAGTGCCGATTGTCAGCAATGAGATATGTGACGAACGTTATGCGGGTATAATTACAGACGCTATGCTGTGTGCCGGTTTGTTGGATGTTGGCGGCAAAGATGCCTGCCAAATGGATTCAGGAGGACCGCTCTTGGTTAATGGAAAACTAGCAGGTGTGGTATCATGGGGAATCGGTTGTGGGCRACCTAAATATCCGGGCGTRTACGCGAATATTTGGTATTTATTGCCATGGCTGCGGGTGACTATCGCCGAGGTGGAAGAGGCGCTTTTGAAGGAAAATAATTGAAAAAAATCAATTTATAAGAATGTGTATTTTTCAAACATTGTTGTATTTATTATAATAAATTGGTATAAAATGTTGTGTGTTAGAAGATACAATCTCTTTAATTTATTTCTGAATCCTAGAAAAGAGGTGTAACGACTTGTATCCTCTTATAATCATAACTATTTCTTCTTACAATGGAGATGGAAGAAGGTATATGCTAGAAAGCGAAATGATATAAAATATTTCGCTATTTGAAAGAGTGGGCTAAACTTCAGAGGCAGTAAACTTATTGCTCTAAATGGATGCCCAAATCACCTAAAATCGCACACGTTTATAAATCTACAATAAATTATACAAAATTTACCAAAATTCATTCTGCATCATTTGATCACGTAATGARGTATAAAATGGACTAAACTTTTTATCAGGGTACCGCCATAAATTATATTCCTTTAATTGGCCTTTAATAAGATTATCGTTATTATCAAGCCATACGCCGTCATCTAGCAATAATTACCGATAAGCCCACGATTAATGTAGTGTTGGATATGAATTGGCCTTATTCCAAGCGTTTAGAAATAATCAGTCTCTGACCAACCGGCTGGTCAACAAGTCTTCTCTCTTTTCTTAAGTTAACTTCAAACGAAAATTTTTTTGCAATGAAAGCCTGCTTCATCATTGCTAGCCTATTGGCTATAGCCTCTACGAATTTAGCTTGGGCGCGCACTCTCGCCGAAACGGATTCAGCCGAAGTCGCGTTGGATGGACGCATTGTTGGCGGTTACACTGTTGACATCACAGCGCATCCGCATCAAGTTAGTATGCGTTTGAAGGATGTACTAACACCGGAGGAGAGTTATTCACATAATTGTGGCGGTTCCATTTACTCCACGTACTTRGTCGTGACAGCAGCCCATTGCGTGATGGGTAATGTGGCCAGTGAATATCAAATTGTCGCAGGTGCCAATGAGAAACGTAGCGTCAACGGTGTAGTTGTGCCCGTTAAGGAGTTCATTATACATGAACAATACAATCCAAACATCTATAACAATGATATTGCGCTGGTGGTACTCGGTGCACCCTTGCCGATTAATAATGTGACTATTAAAGCAATTCCTTTGGCGGACAAACCCTCAGCCAACGGCGCTATCTCCGTTATTACTGGTTGGGGTTCGCTCATAGAGGGCGGTACTAGTCCAGATCTATTACAAGAAGTCAAAGTGCCGATTGTCAGCAATGAGATATGTCAGCAGGATTACTTGGACTTTGTCATTTCGGATGCTATGTTGTGTGCGGGTGTTCGCGGCGTTGGTGGTAAGGATGCGTGCCAGGGTGATTCCGGTGGTCCCTTAGTGGTTGACGGAAAGTTGGCTGGTGTGGTGTCATGGGGCCTTGGCTGTGCAAGAGCAAATGCTCCAGGCGTTTATGCTAATGTCACACATTTGCGGTCRTGGTTGGATGAAAAGATTGCTGAAGTAGAGTCYACATTGTTGTACTAATGTGGCAAATTTTATGCTAATATATAGTATTTTCACGTATCAATGTATTGTGTAATAGTTTTTCTTCTATTTGGTAGTTTGGTTGAAATAAATAATTGAAAGTGTATTTTTTTTACTGGGAATATAAATGAAGCAAAATTAATCGAAACCTTAAGTATTCTATAACGTCTAGACTAATTTTTTTTTTCAATATGGCAACACGGTTTATCAAGAAATTAATATTCATATAATAGAAGGTACATAAATGATTTTTCATATCAGAAATGATTATCAGTACATATATATGTTTATGGTAGTTGATCGCCTTTTTATTGCCACTACCGTTGATAAGAAGCAGGCACGTATTGTACGACAATTATACTGTAAAATAATAAATAGTTTTTTAAATACCCTTTAGAGCAAATCATTCGTACATATTTTCATGTTATACTACACATTGCAATGGTCAGTACAATTAAAATAGAGCCGTAATTTTAAGGAAACTCTATGCCGCATACAAGAGCGGAAGTTTTAATAATTATGGTGATTTCTTCATCACTCTACTCCAATCACAAATTGTCTATGATCGAACTTAAATATTTTAACCATTTACTCGTAATTGATTTCGAAGAGGGATTGTGGTGCGAAGTCAAGCTATCTGAACCAATAAGTCGATATTTTGTTCTATGAAATCTGACAGACCCCACCAAGCTATGCTAGGATCATCATGAGTTAAAGAAAAGTGTCTGATGGCAGACGTCCTTTAAGGTTAATCACATACTTTTTAGCACCTCTCGTGGGTCGAATAATATCTGTCTCTTATACACATCTAGATGTGTATAAGAGACAGATGCTAGGATCATCATGAGTTAAAGAAAAGTGTCTGATGGCAGACGTCCTTTAAGGTTAATCACATACTTTTTAGCACCTCTCGTGGGTCGAATAATATATGTAGATAATTTCGTTCATCTTGGAACCAGGATTAACACAACAACAATGTCAGCTTTGAAATCGCAGACTAATTTTTCCCAAGATGTGTTACTTCGGAMTGAGTAGGCAATTGGAAGTAAAGTCCACTCTCACAAAGCCATAGCTGTCAATATGCAGTTCCATAGCCAGCTGAATACTTCGAAAGGCTKCATTAAAAGGAGAAAAATATYTACAAATACGCTGACCCAGTTTAACTTACATATATTTGTGTAGCATATAGAGTTCGTTCTCAATAATTCTGACGATAATTATTGTTTTAACTATCTGGCGCTTTTCAAACTAATATGTACGTCAAAGGTTTGTATAATTTACGACATATACATGACTAGATATGGCAAATACTAACAACGGAAAAATAGTTAAATTCCAGTGCGTTATCATATATGTATGATTTTTCAAAAATATACGATAAGTTTAAATATTATCGAAATGACATAAAATTAGTCAGCTATACATTTTTTTAGGCCACGGGGCACAGTACAAGTTCGATTTTGTTGCATTACGGACGCATAAGAAAACAATGGCATTATTTCTTAATAACGCGCTACAACTTTTCCTTTTGGCTCTCTGTGCCTCAATCACGTTAACGGTCTATGCCTCGCCGCAGGTACGCATTGTTGGCGGTGAAACGGTGGATATCGGCAGCGCACCGCATTTAGTATCCATACGCTACAAGCGCAATGCTTCGACACCCTTCAGTCACCGTTGTTCCGGCACAATATATTCCGAGGATATCGTGCTGACCACAGCGCGTTGCGTCATCGGCTTGGAGCGTCAACAATTGTTAATTGTAGCCGGCAGCAGTTATCGTTCACAAAGTGACGGTTATGTGGATCTTGTCAAATCAATTGCAATACATCCGGATTTCGATATTTGGTTTATCGATAACGATTTGGCATTGTTGCGCTTGGAATTTCCGCTCASCAGCCAAAACGTGAAAGTGATCAATCCGATCAAACTCGCCGAGCAATTGCCCGCMGCTGGCAGCGCGGCTACAGTGGCTGGTTGGGGCGCAGCGGCCGAGTATGCAGAGTTTGAGGAGCAATTGCAAGAGGCCAATGTGCGTATAGTGGATACTGCGCAGTGCAAAGAAGCTTATGGCGCCGGGCGCATTAGCGCGGCCATGTTATGCGCTGGTGGCGTAAGCKCAAATGGCGTTGCCGTCGACGCATGTCTGGGTGACGCGGGTAGCGCCCTCGTTTCAAACGGCACGGCTGTAGGTTTGGTATCGTGGGGTAATGGCTGTGGACGTRTGGGTTACCCAGGAGTTTATACAAATTTGGTGCATTTCAATGAGTGGATTAGCAGCGAAGCGATTGTGCCGTTGTAATAGTAAATAATAAYATGTAATTTCAACACCGTTATTATGTTAGTATTGACTTTTGCGAAAGAAAATGAATAACTGGTTTGCCGATTGAATAAAATACTTAGAAACTACAATAAACTATGTGTTCATATAATTTACAGATAAGCTTTTTGATATTTAACCGATATGTATGGGATGGTCTGAGATAAGCAACTTCAAAATCAATCGTAAATATGTGTTAACAAATACACGAATGATCCGGTAAAAACCAAGAAAAAACTTAACTTCGGTTGCGCCCTACCCTTTACATATACAAAAGGTTCTTTACAACAAGAATTAGATTTTGATCGGTTGGTTTGTAAGWGCGCTATATATTGGGTAGGCGAAAAAGTCTTTTCATATTTTGTCAATAGATGTCGTTGCAGTCGTATATATCCAGTGATACCAATCACATTGTACTATATGATGTTAGAAAGGTCAGATTWTAAGCTTCATTTACCGAAAATAAATGAAAATCGGGGAAGTTAAAAGTTACAGTTGTTCTAAAATAAGTGAAAATAATGAAAAATAGTTCGCTCGCTTCCGTTCTGGTCAACCTGTTACTGAAAAAGTCGATGAAATTATGGCAGAGATTGACCAGGACCGTCACATAAGCAACCACGTAACTAAGGCACTTAACATTCAYCATCAAACGGGTTTGATTTAAAAAAGGCTGGATACAGAAAGAAGCTCATAATTTGGCTACCACGTGAATTGTCTGTGSAAAATTTAATGGACTGAATTAACATCTGCGATTCTTTGCTGAAACGAAATGAAATGGAACCATTTCTGAAGCGAATGGTAACAGGAGACGAAATRTGGATCAAATACGACAATAATGTGCGAGAAAGATCATGGTCCAAGCGTGGTGCAGTTCAATAAGTGATCACAAAGCCAGGATCGATGCCTCGAAAGGTTATGCTGAGTATTTGGTGGGATTGGAAAAGAATCATCCACTATCAGCTGCTCCAGCCTAGTCRAACGATTGATTCTACATTTTACTGTCAACAACTGATGAGATTGAAGTAACCAATCGCGAAAAAGGGCCAAAACTGATCAACAGGACAACGCTAGACCACCCAAATCTTTGATGACTCGGCAAAAACTAGGAGAGCATGGCTGTGAAGTGCATCCACTATATAGGCCTGACCTAGCACCATCGGACTACCATTTGTTTCGGTCAATGCAAAACTCTCTTAATGGAGTAAAGTTGGCTTCAAGARAAGTCTGTGAGAATTATTTGACGCAGTTTTTCGCCGAGGAACCARAATAGTTTTACAAAATGGTTCATTAAAGTTCAACATAAATATAAAAAAAATAAGTTGAAGATTGATAAGAAATACGTAAAGACYATTTCGACTATCCAATATACAAAACTTAGTATTTTGATGTCAATGAACGGACGTGRGTTCTAAGTATACACTCAACGTAGTCCCCAGTTCCACCTTAGAAAAATCTGTAAAGATTTTTTAAAGCTACATGACTTTTGGTGATACTCAGACAAATCCTTGGGAGAGATTTAAGGAATTAGGAATTAGTCCAAAACTGCAAAAATCTGATAATCCCAACCTATGAACATRCTTTTAGTTGAAGATCTCAATCAAACTGTTGGAAAAGTGCTTAAGCCATTCAACGTCTCACTCTTCGAAATGCGGACCAGAATATATGTATTTGACGACATTCTATTCAATATAAACTTTGCAAAAGAACCCTTGCTTCAAAATTGAAAAATTCTGGAAAAACATCTGCAGATATAAAGCGAACCCCATTGAGACCAATGGCAACTAGCAAAGAGGCACTTAATSTACAAAGTTTTTTCCACATCAAGTTGGCCCTTAAAAAAGCTACTTTTTATTCAGAAAGTATTACATAAAATGGGTAACACTGGCGATCTAGAGAAGCTTTACTGGAAGCTTTCTATCGGCTTGTGGTGGTACTTGGTGGTACTGATACAAAGGTTAAATTCAATGTTTACTTTTTAGTTTAAAGATTMACCACTAAAAATTGAAAAAGAACTCTAACCATATCGCTTCATTAAACGGTATCATAAAGATCAGAAAAGCTCAATAAATAGCTTATCACACATTAATAAAATAAGATAATCCGCATATTCAGACCACACAGTGTAGCTTAGTTAATAATAGTTGCTCTAGTGCGTTTTGAAAAATAGGTTCGGAATAGATCGCCATGCAGTGTAAAAACCACACTATTGTGCTTTGGATCTCGTTCACTTRCTGCTTGGCGGTCGCTACATCCTTAGGAATACAACCCGCCATCATTGGCGGTCATGAAGTRAACATCATCAAGCATCCCTWTCTGGTTTCCATACGCTACCACTTGCCGGCCGATGGTGCGTATTGGCACAAATGCGCTGGTGTTATAATCACGGAGAAGGCAGTGCTTACCGCCGCACAGTGTGTTCGTGAAATCGAAACGGATCGTGTTATGATCGTCGCTGGCGGCAATCAGCGCCGTGGCGGTGTTGGCAAAGTATATCCAGCTACCAAGTGGATCGAACATCCGAACTTTTCTACACGTACTGCTGATTACGACATTGGTTTGATATTTGTGGATTTGCCTTTCGAATTGAACGCTATCCACCCGACGTTGCGTACAATTAATATACGTGGGCAATGGCCTGCTGTAAACCGTTTGGCCACGGTGGTTGGTTGGGGTTATCGTGARGAATTTGGTCCGTCGTCCGATAATTTAGAAGAGACAAAAGTGCCAATAGTCAGTCGCAMCCAGTGTGTTTCGATCTATGGTTCCGGTGAGGTCACCGCGCGTATGATTTGTGCAGGATATGTGAAGACCGGCGGTCAGGATGTATGCCAAGGCGATACTGGCGGACCTTTGCTGTATGAAGGACAATTGGTGGGTTTAGTCTCGTGGGGCTATGGTTGTGCGCGTCCCGGTTATCCCAGTGTATATACCGATGTGGCCAGTCTGAAGTCATGGATTGTAGAAGAACTGCAGAAAGCACAGTCATAACGGAATACTTACATAAAATGGGCAATTGAAGGACATAGGACAAATACTATTATAAAAGCAGTCTATTTAAATTTTTGTATGTAATTTTTTTTATTCTGAAAAATAAAAAATTTAATTTTTTAAAATTAACATCTAATATTTCAAGCAATAACAGAGACAATCCAGCTAATAACATGAAAGTTCCAATTGAGTTATGGTGACTGAATATCTCTRAACTCATGTCTTACGTGAGCCTTCTTGCTTCTGTTCCTCCCAGAGCTAAAGTTCCTAAGAGTAACTGGTTGGAATCGAATCTTATAATAACAGATCTAGGTTTTCAAACTTTCCTGATCGGAGACGATGGAAGCTTAGGAGTGAGTAAACCATCCAAGGTAACTAAGAGACAACATTCTCTAATACTTTGCCTAAACTAAATACTTCAAGATCTGCACCTAAAACGAACTACGTTTGGAAGAATATACTAGAGAATACTTGAAATTAAGTTAGTTTTCAGAAATCCCTTGAAACTTAACGCAAACCACCATCTTCTTCATGCGAGGACTGACTGATGAAATAAAAGGGAATATTTAGTACTTATTACGCATATGGATGGACCTTATACGTATGAATTTGCAATATTTATAGACTATTTAACATTTCCGATAATCGATCGTGTTATAAATAGACGAAATCATAAATAATCACACTTTTATCTYAAGTAGTAACTCCAAAGTTKTATTATATTTACAAATATGAAGGACGCTCAATTTCACTAACAGAGTTCGCATATTCAATGGCCGTCGCCTCGATCCAGTCAGCTAAATCSGGTACCGATGCATACACACCCGGGTACGTGCTGCTCGCACAGCCAAAKCCCCTGAAAAYAATGCCTAGCAGTTCATTACCAATAATCAGTGGGCCACCCGAATCRCCTTGGCAGRAATCTTTACCATTCGCGCACAACATACGCTCATTACAAGATAAAAATATCTCCTGCGACATTTTGTCTGGTCCACCAAATTAACATGCACCGGTTGCAATTGATAACTCAAATAGATGCTGCCACCACAGAGGTGAGATSATTTGTAGCGCAGTGACACCTGATGCGGAAATTGACGTGGCCTTGGAGCCWCCTAAGATGCGTCCATTGTTTAGCAACGCGTTGATGTCGGCACTGGTGCGAGCACTAAATCTGACGATGGTAAATAGCGCGACGAGCGTTATGTGGCGTAACATTTTCGCTAAGCGCAGGATTAAAGCGGAATAAGCAGTGCCACGGTTACCCAGCACTTATATGCGGCGATGAGCCACACGAATTGTSTGCGCCGTCTGTCCACGAGAAATGTCAAAAGCTAATCTGTTGGTGTAGTAATTCAATGCTTTGTGGAAAAATTTACGTGCACAATCGGCTAACACATTATTTCGAGGTCTTATCAATAACTATGGAAGAACCATTAAGAAAGTAGCAAGATTAAGCATTCGATTAGATTTTAGCTASAAAAACCCTTATATATTTGTAGGTGGGAGTGTATTTGTTTAGAGATAGCATTTTCTATAGAATTTCCGAGTAATTTCTCCATTCAATTTCACTAATTTAGAATTTATGGGAAATAAAGCATACCTTTAGGCGCGGTAGTAATAGAAGTGATCGTTATATCAGAGAACTTTAAATTCATTAACATTTTCTGGTTGTTTAGATGTCATGAAAACATGTGAAGAGAAAACGCTCGAAARGATCAACAAGGCATGAGATTTATCGCACTTATTTAGATATGAGGCGCATAGTTGTATTACCATATATTTTTGCTACCCAAAATTCATATTTTCTCAAACACACACAGTATGCGTTTCTGGTAAAAAGTCTGGATAGGTCGATTCTAAGAAGGATCTCACTTGGATAGCTACCTATAAACTCCTAAATACTGGGCCATAAAACCTTTATTTKTTGATTAATATCAATTTCGACCATGTCTCCAGGTTCGCCGAAGTTAAGTTTACTGACATGTTTTAGCCTCAGATGTTTCTACACCAGTCTCTTCCATACAGAGTCCAGTAAKAACTGATAACAATTGTGGCAAGATAAACTTTGATAGGGGAGGTAGTTCAGTAGATCTCTTGCGTTCTACTCTAGGCCAAAAAGACCTCGCAGTCGCAGAGGAATTTGTCGGCAACCAGCGTCTGGTAAAGAAGTGGTAGAAMGCCAGATGCCAATAGAGAATCAACTCTAGTTAACTGGCTGATTAAAAGATAACACTTCCGGCTAATAAAGTAAGACATACAAACACATTTTAGTCATTTGTGAGCTCATCCAAATTCCTTGGAAYATTTTACACTAAAACACGTTTTAACTTGATAAGTACAGAATGAAAAGTAAATTAATAACTAATCAGGCGATCTGCATCATACCGTTATCTATTTGTATTTTTTCATAATAATTTTGAAGTATCATGAATCATTATCGTGTTGATTAGTGAAATTACTGTAAAACTTTTGTCATAGTTATTATACTCTAAACTAAAAACGTGAGGCTGATAGCACGCAGACATCATGTATATTCGCGACACCAACGATCTTTAAAAACACTTCAGCATAATCGAATTTATTTAAGATAAGTGACCATTCCYACTGTGGGCATCTAGTCATGGTAATCAATCATATCTCAGATATTAATAGTTGCCATGGAATTATATACATACCTATATGCAATCTACCATGAAATCCACTCACGTGAACTCYTATTGTTTTTAACTTAACCACGGCTAAGCATATATTATTTCGAAAAATTAACTCAAAGATTTCGGTTACTGCCAGATGATCGCAGGCGTACAGGGTTTTGTTCGGAAAGTAATAGGAGTGAGTCGATTTCCAAGCATTGAAGGCTCACGAAAGGCATTCTTCGGAATAGCCTTGAGGTGYATGCATGAGGATCACGTTTCATCGGCTTTTTCAGGCAAAGAAACAACAAAAAAAATTCGCCGAGCCAAATCTTGACTGTGGGGCGGCTGCGAAAGCGATGGGATGCCGGTCTTGGTTAGGTTACCCTGTATTATGCTAATCTTAATTTCGAAAAACAACTAGCCACGGCTAACCGAAATGCTTAGTTGTTAYATACCTTAGTTATTGCCTATTTAGCGCTAATTTGGTCATAAAGACTACCGAAATTTTATGATGGATATAAATATGGACATTATTATGAACATTGCGGCTACCTACTCAAATATTTTCTTCAAAAAATTTCTGTCTAATTTTATCATTGCATTTTTACCGACGGTATCAGTATTATCTTGCAAATATTTTCAAGTACTTTTTAATGTCGTTATAATATCTTTATTAGGGAATAATTTCTGCAGTGTTATCTGCTTAAAATGTTATAAATTCAATCGCTTCGATGGGAGGTTGGTCGATGGGTTTAACGAAAGTCAAATCGATGAGCCAAAATTTGCAGGATAGTATTTAGTAGAAAATATTAGGTTGAAGGTTTAAACACGGAAGATGTTTTGAATTCAGTAAGCGATATCTCTTCAACATTGGTGTCCAGTTAGAGTAGTAAAAGAGATTGTATCAGATTGACCAGTCGTTCCTCCTTTTCGCAACGATTCTTTTATATATGGCTCAAGCAGCTCTCGACTTCTTATACTGAGTATCCTTCGGGTAGTCAAAAAACATCCGTTTTAATGAAAGCTAAAGTGATAAAGGTCAAAACGTCCCTTCCCACTGTTTACGGGGACCAGCCTCGTATATATAACAGCTGCTGTGGGAACGGTCGCTCCAAGGATCTTTCATATACACGAATCACACACCTACCCTTTTGACATTGACTTATTTCAAATTCTGTTCACTCTTTTATTTGGTCTTAAACAAAGATAACTGTTAAGGTCGTAAGCACAGTATAACATTATAACACAGCAATTTGGCTTTGTSAGAATGCATGAGAACTTTTTAGTGCCGCACTCGGTTCGCACTTTAGTCAGCCAACAYAATTAGTATAAAAGCAGATAAACACATTATAGRCGCTGTCAAAGTGTTAATATATTTCGTTTAAGACACATCGCTTTACGCTTTACTTYAAAAAGRATTACACATAAACCATGAATTTTGGACTTCCGCTACTCATTCTGGTCAGCTTTTGCCTCTTAGGCCTACAAGCCGGCGCTATACCAGCACTACCACTTAATTCTATAGCTGCCAAACCGTCGTTTCAACTGGAAGGACGCATWGTGGGYGGCCAACAGGCAGATATAACGCAGTATCCTTACCAAGTATCCATACGGCTCGATTCTTCCGTGCTCATACACATTTGCGGCGGTTCGATTTATGCACCACGTGTCATTGTTACGGCGGCGCACTGCCTGAAAGGACGTTACGCTTCGACAATACGTGTTGTTGCGGGCTCATCCACGATCGCCGATCAGTCGGAGCAGGGTGTGGCTGCGCAGAAAYTAATCTATCACAGSGGTTACGTSAAAAAGACGCACACCAATGATGTGGGCTTAATAATTTTGAAAGAGTCTTTGTTATATGACGCCAACGTACAACCYATTCAATTGGCACGCACTACGGCGGAGGTAGGTGCACACGCCATCGCTACCGGTTGGGGTTTGAACGATGAGGCGGCACTACAAATGACCAACGTGTTGCATGTAGTCGATCTGCAAATTGTCGATACGCTGCAATGTGGTGTACAATATGCCTCGAAGAGTTATGTCATCACCGAGGAAATGATATGTGCGGGCGCTGAGGATGGTGGCAAAGACACTTGCCAAGGCGACTCGGGTGGTCCACTTGTAGTTGATGGCAAATTGACCGGTATAGTTTCTTGGGGTATTGGTTGTGCTCAGGACTATCCCGGTGTGTATGCCAGTGTATCCTATCATGCTGAATGGATAGAACAGAAAGCGGCAGAGTACTTGTGAGATGAAGAAACTTAGACGGAGAATTATATAAAGAAACGCCTAACTAAGCACAATCGATCAAAAAATAAACGAACAAAAGCCAGTGAACAAATATACAAACGCAATAAACTTCCAAATGATATGTATATATATATATATATATATATCGATACTATATTACTAACCTTACTATATTGTGATAGATATTTTTTTTTATTCTGTTTTTATTATTTATGCCAGTTTTTTGGTGAAGGAGTTAGTACAAATAAAAATAATAAATTGTGGCCCACATTCCTAATACATTTTTCGAAAATTTGTATCCGTTTGGTACTTTCAGAGCTTTCGAAACTCATCTCATAGATAGATCGGTAGATGTTAAAGATTGAGGTATTGCACTACGACTTCGCATATGGYAATCAAGGTCCAACATCCTGAACAGTTTCGACTGAGATGATTTGATCCCTATCCACGTAAATGGAACATAGGGCCTTTAGCCCGCTTCTGCAAATTGCTGACCAATAAAGAATCAGGTGTTCTGGGCGCAGARCCGGCAGTTTGCGCGAGAGACTATACCCATGTTGAATAAGTGCGTCCTACGCCTCCAGTGCTTTATGTAGAACGCGACAAGGAGGCGGAATTTGTCACGAGGAGGTTGATTCTTTTCGTAAATCTTGCCTCTTAGAAGTAGCTTGGCATGGTGAATCGTGCCGCTTAACTGTCGCTAAGTATGGCGATACGCTGCTTGCGATAGTTGCGGCGGAGAATTAGTTCTACGCACTGACTTATAGCAAAGATTTCGGCTAGAAAAATGCTCGAAAAACGTCCCATTGGTATGGAGTTATTCTACTCTGCCTTGCTGCTCATATCATACTTCAGGAACATTTTCGACTCTCTCTTCGATTACTCACAAATATACTAAGTTTGACTGAATCAAGTTGATTCATTGAATTACTTCGATGTCGTCATTTGTCATATTCGTCAATTTCAGTTACGATCTTAAACGTACATAATCATCCCTTTGAAATCGTTAATGCTTCTAGTCGAAAAAGCCTTTTTGTATTTTGTCAGTCGTATATCTCCAGTGCTACCAATCGACTATCCAATAAATGTGCAGCTTGTTGAAAATAAAAGTCTAGAACTCATTGCTGGAGGGCAAGCGAAGAGAGAAACTTTATTGTCAAATTACACTGAAGAGTAATGAAAWGTTAAAGATAATACAATTATTGACATAAGGAACTCCCTACACCTTCACCACCATAAGCGAGTTTACTTAACAAGCTACTATCAGCTCCAACGATTATAAAAGCAAAGAAATTGTTTTATTTTTATTGTAAACATTTTAATTTATTGTATAATGTAATTATAAGGCTTCTAGTATCATAACATTTTTTTGTATCCAAGAAAATAAACTTGGCACTCTCGAGTAAACACCCGGAAAACCCGGTCTAGCACAACCAAGACCCCAAGAAACAATACCGATTTGTACACCATCGGCCACCAATGGCCCACCAGAGTCACCCTGACATGAGTCCTTCCCACCTTGTGGCACAGCAGCGCATAGCATGCGTTCCGTTATAATACCATAATAAGGCGCATACGCTGTTGCACATTCAATGGAATCCACCACCTTCACAGTGACTGCTTGCAATGTGGGGGATAATAATCCACCCTCGCTGGTGCTGCCCCAACCGGTGACAACAGCAGCTGTGCCATCCGCCGGATTTATGCTGGACATACGTATCGGTTGTGACGAATTACTGAACGGTATTTGATTTCGTAGCTTAATCARGGCAATGTCATAGTCTGAGGTGAATGGGTTGTAGTTCTCATGTCGTATAATCACATCGACGAGCGCTATCGGACTAAGTTGATTTAGCGAGGTTATGCCGAATTTTACAGCGTAATTTTGTGGCGTGTAGGGTATAACACAATGTGCAGCTGTGATCACGAAAAATCCATCGGTTTTATTGTTACCGGTATTCAATATTGAACCACCACAGGTATGTGAACCGTATTTGAGTAGTGAAACTTGATATGGGTGCTCCTTTATATTCGTATTCTTGCCGCCGACGATGCGTCCATCCAATGGAAACAGTCGGTTGACCGACGTTGCACCATTCGTAAAGACTATGTAGAATCCTAGGAATATAAGAAAATATTTGCACATGCTAAGTGTTTAAGCGTACTAATTTCTGCAAATACTTTGGTATGAGTTATCACGTTCTCGACTGTCATTACTGTTGTTGCATCGGGCTTTTATATCCAATTCATCGTAATAGGCGGCCAGAGCAAATAAGTGACTTACAAATTTCGTTATCAATTGCATTACAACAAGCAATTAAAACCTAATAAAAGTTGGTATTATCTCTGTCCGTGCAGGGGCGTCCGTCATAGGCAATCACTTGACTCGAGAGGTCAAAGCTTTTAGCGTTCGATAACGATCTAGATCAAGATTTTAACTTTCATAATTGAAAAAGTGTTAATGACCACTTATTTAAAGCAAGACACACCTGTATTGAAGATAGGCAATCATATCTATATATTTATCTACTTTGAGCAATACCCAATCCAAAAAAAAAAAAGTGGAATAAGGTTTGGTCAGGGTGTGTAAAAAAAATTTCATTATGGTGACAGTATAATTCAAATGGTCTGTTACCCGGAAATGTTGGTTCTAAATTGGTGCTGAAGCAGGCAACTCCAGAGTTTAGGTATATGTAGACAGACGAGCAGCAATAATCTTGAGAAGCTGGACAGTAGTGGACACGGATGCTAGGAATAAGCGACTTCACTTATACTGGATGCCTGGCCACAAAGGTATCGATGAGAATGTGATAGTAGACGAGATTGCTAAGAGTTATATACGGCTGTCATTCGAAAACCTGACTGACATTGCACCCATGGCTTATCTTTATGACAATCTCAGGTGTAAAGCCAGTCATTCTCGCTGAAAGAGTGGACTCTAAGAACAAAGTTGGAATACATGCAGGTCACAGTGTGATGGCGTCGCATGTTTACAGAATGAGGCTCACAGCTCGACATGACCAAGGAAACAATGGAGCATCTCTTCGGCATTTAGTAAGGCAACGCTTCAACAGTTGAAGGATCGACGGTATAATACACTAAAAGAGGTAGTCATAGTGAGGTCGCATCCGTAATGAGTGCTTCAACCTCTGGCATCCTGAAGGCGTACCACTTTTCATGGACTACGTAACGTCACTCCGACTGACATCGCTTAGGAACAACACTGATCTATGCGGTGCTCATCATACCAGACTAACCCATTTTAACCCATCAGCGTGTACCATCAGGGTTCTAATTAGCAACACTTTTGTTATACTCGCATGAGCGAAATATTTTTTAGAATATGTATGTGTATTTATTGAAGCGGTTTTACTGTATTTGCTGTCCGTATATGGATTTCGACCTTTCTCGAAATTGTGGACGCTAAATATTTCGGGAAAATTCGAATGAGCTGTCAATTTTTACTTACCACTACAATAGCTGTCTCTGTCACACCACAAACTGACGTATCTTCGAGCTATACAAACGCAGTCCAGTTTTCAGGGTTGCTGCTGTTCCATTTCAAATTTAATGGAAAAAAACATCTGATTTTTTTAATTTGAAATATCATAATTTTAATGAATTAAAAGAGTTCTAAAAAGTTCTTGAATAATACTTATTATATTAGTTTTGTTGTTGTATCAATTATATTAATTGTATATGCATTTAATAAATAGTTATGCTTAATATAACTATAACATTTAGCTAATTGCAGAAACACATGCTAACGGCAAACCCAAACAAAACTTTAGGTGCAACCCTGTGGCGTGCCACACAAACACACCTAATTCGTGTTCGGCACAAAGGGAAGGAAATTTGTCGAATTTTAAACGAAGCATTGAAAAGTGAAGACGAGTTTTACCTTCAAGTGCTGAAAATTTTGTGTTTTAATTGATTTCCAACAACTTTAATTGCTTAAAAACTGCGAATTATTTGGAATAACACATAGGAACATATTGCAAATAAAAAACTCATAACAAAATGTCGCTATTCGGCTCATTAATGGGAGATTTCGATGATGACCTTTTCATGGGGTAAGTTTGTGATTCTGCTATAACAACTCGGCGCTGGGTGCTCCGCTATTGCCGATGGCAAAAAAAAATATTTCGTCTTCACTACAAGAACATGTGTACCCATATGTTTGAAGGTGATTGTTATGCATTGGGRAAAAAATTACGCGACCAGGGAGTGTAAAATAGTTTTCGCAAATGAAAAAACTTCAGAAATGTGATGTTTAAGAAAAATTTAATTTTTTCACTACAAGCTGTCACGGGAGATGAACATCGAAGTCAGGAAATCTTAGTGCGCACGATTGAGTATGTAATACATACAAACAGCTTGTTGAAGTGAAAATCATTAATTAATCGACTTTACACAATTAAAAAATATATATTAAGTGGTTTGCAAATTTATGTCGTTCATTCAGTTTAAATAATTGAGGTTTTATGYTGATATCCATGCATTTTAGTTGCTTTATTGTTTTTATTTGTGGTGAACGGATTCTCCTTTAATCAATTACGGTTTTATTTGCCATGCAAAGCTCTATGTATTTGTATGTACATACGTCAACGATGACGTTAACTACAGTGAAATTGCAAGCACAAGCTTACAGATGAAAAATCGATAAATATTATTTTCCTGTCGCTGTCCGTAGTATTGTATTTTTCCTCATGTATATATATATACTCACCCTTCAAATATTTTATACTCTAGAGATTTCTAAACAATTACACATCAATATTTTTATTATGAATTATTAAAGTAACGTTTTCATTCTTTGATTTAAAATAAATTAATTTCCATAATAGGGAGCATTAATATTTTTAAGATAGTTACAGTCTATTGAGTTTTTCACTGTGGCATAAAAAGTTGGTATTAGTAGAATTTGGAGATTGTAGATGTTTTTAAAATATTTGATCTTAGGCGACCAATAACACAATAATTTTMTTAATAATATTCAATATATAAAAAAATGTGTTCAAAATGGCTTCCATTTTAAATTTTTACTGTTTGTAAATGTGAAAATAGTTAACACTTTGTTATACAATTTATATTTATAGATATCCCATCAATATTTGTCTAATCTGATGAGTTTGATTGATTCATGAATTATACACTGAATTTCTGCACTCCTTCTGGCAGATTTCACGTAATGCTTTTCAATATCTTTTTCTGCCAATCCTAGCTGTAATTGCATTTAAAATGATACTTATCTTAAAAAAATGTGCTTACATAATATATGCAGAAAAAATAAATACAAAAAAAAAAGGAATTTAACAAAACTATTAGTGACATCATCACAATTTGCAAGCCTATACGATTTAAAAAAAWTTTTTTTTAATGAGGGTATTTAACATAGCAAAACCAATAAATTGAGGATATTTTGTATTAAAATATGTGTAATTGAAAATAATTGTTTAAAAACCCCACCTTTGAAAACCTTACCGTTAACTCAGTAACTTTGTATTTTTGTTTAAACTAAAAAGTCATTTTTTCTGGCAGAAGTCTTTTTTTTTGGGCGCTTTGCTTAACATAATTTACTTATTTTTTGGGAGTAAAAATTTTGTTTGTGAAAATGCCCGCCGGCGCACGACGACGGTCACATTCGTATGCTGTTTTCGTTTATTTATTTTTTTGAACAACCCTTAAATTAGCTAATTTTTGCACATTTTCAGCAATCACATGAATGCCATGAACATGCAAATGCGTTCGATGAATCGTTTTATGAACTCATTCATGCCCGATCCATTCAATATGTTGGCACCATTCGACCCCGGATTCCAACAGAATGCGCTCATGGAGCGTAGCAATCAACATGTGGCTAATCCAATGGGTGGACTTTTCGGCTTTCCAGCAATGCCAAATATAAATAGATTACTTAGTGCAGGTGAGTTCGCAATCTCTACACATTTATATAAATTAGCGTTTAATTAGATATTTAACTTAAACTATGCTAATTGCTTGTCTAGATATTGGTTCGCCAAACGGCGCCTCATATTGCTCCAGCTCAGTGATTACTATGTCCTCGGGTCCAGATGGTCGCCCACAAATTTATCAGGCAACAACTAGTACAAAAACTGGACCAGGTGGCATACGTGAGACACGTAAAACCGTTGAGGATTCAAGGCGTGGCATGAAGAAAATGGCTATTGGTCATCATATTGGGGAACGTGCGCATATTATTGAAAAAGAACAAGATATGCGTTCCGGTCAGTTAGAGGAGCGTCAAGAGTTTATAAATTTAGAGGAAGATGATGCAGAGGACTTCGATCGTGAATTTACCAACCGGGCACGTGCTGGTGTACGTGGTGCGCGTCCACAAGAGATGATCACYATTGAATCGGCTGATGATGACGATGACGTGCGTCCACGTCATTACAACAGACATCACGGTAGTGGTGGACAGCATCGCAGACAATTGCCAGCCTTGCCCGCACCGCCACAACAACAGAATAGGTAAGTTCGTGAACACCAATTTATTGTTATCAAATATTAATTTGTTCATTTCAATTTTGAATTGGTGTGTGTATGTTGTAGGAAAATTGTATATACATAAATATAATTTTTTCCGGTTTAAATGCTAAACTGCTCGTGGGTGCATAAATTTCGTGCGAAATTTAGTAGAAACCTACAAAACATTTGTGCGTTTTTAGTGCATTTTACACACTGCTTATGTTAGAAGATATATTTTTTTTTAGGTGTACTTTTTTTTCAGTGATCACTATAAAGTACCGCTTTCTAACAAAAGACTAACACAAAATAAATTAAGTGAAAGAATAATTTGTTAAATGTGGAAATAAATAAAATAAAATCTTGGAATTCTTATCTTCCAGGGTTTATTTTTGCTGGATTATATGAAAACTAATTTAATTTTTTTCAAAATTCGTCTCCACGTAATATATGTTTTATTATCCTTTTATTATTTACTTATGTATGCTTCCAATGTTCACAATTTTCACACGTAATTTTATTTTGAGTTTATTAACTTTTTTCGCTTTCGTAATCAAAAATTCACTGGTTTACTGAAAACAATTTGTTGCTTTATATCTACTTCCAGATATGATAAAAAATAAAAAATATATATATAAACAAAGAAACTTGATTGATTAAGGATTGAATTTAACTTCGACTAGCATAAATACTACTGCTACTACATACTACTAAAATGTATATGTACATACATATATCTATCACTTTATAGAACCACTACAACTGCTATCATTCCCAGAATTCAAAACCTATAATAATGTAATGTCGAATTCGCGTTTAACTGCAAGCAATAATCACAAACAGATTTTTTCGAAAGAATGCATAGTAATAGTTAAACTGAAAATATTAAAAATTAACCAAAAAAATAAAAGAAACAATTGCATTGATTGATATGCCTACATACATATATACAGAGTATTAACAATGAAATTAACTTTAATAAAAGCAGTCACAACAAAAAATGAAAATGAGAGCCTACGAGTGTTTGAAATTTCACACCTTCCCACTCCACTTCACTTATTATGACTAACAGTATAAGCGTAAAGACTACTAAATTCAAAGCGACCCGTAAGAAAATATTTCAACACTCACAAATTCGCCCTAAAATATGAGGTAGGCCATTTTGTAAATTWAATAGTATTTATTGTTTTTAGATTTCTTTAATTATATTTATTTGTCACTCATTGTGTTACAGTTAGATGTTTTCTTTATACTTCATTGTATTAGCTAACATCTATTAATGTTTTAAAACATATATTTAGAATTAATTTTCATAAAATATTATCTGCATATTTAATTGAAGGTTTTATTTCTGAATTGTATTCCTATTGTGAATGTTCATTCATACCTCACGTTCATATCCATAACCGTTAGATATATTCTTTTTGACTTCAATTTTCGCGTGTATCAATTTCAGTAGAAACCGAAAATCAAAATATGTTATTTCTAAAGTACTGTTAAATTTCGTAGATTTGTAGCTCGAAACTGTCCACGAAGAGGTAGCCGATTTTCACCTTTTGGGGTTATGAATTTGAGAAATATTTATACATGATATAGCTTTTATGAAAAATTTAATTTTTTCTTAGTTTTCGAAGTTATYCAAAAACTAATCTCAAAATTAAAAAAAAAAAAAAATCTATAAATAGAACAATAATGGTTAATTTTTATTTAAGTACAATTTTCTACTTCCTAAAATACTTTATCGATAATACACGAGTTTTAGCAACATCAGCTTCAATGTATTACTGAAAATCCAAAAAATTAACAACTTTTCCTAAACAAATTGTGGTTGGTAAAATAATTTAACATTTCTATATGTTYGCCCAACAACAATTGAAAAACAAATAAAAACTCACAGTTGCATTTTCACAAATTGGGGGAAAATAGCAAACAAATCATCACCAAATATTTATTAAATACGCTTCAAATGAGAATAATCGCAATTTTCTTCGCCTTTCACACTACGTTCGAAAATACAGCTCGACATTGTCCCCTTCATCGTCGGTTGAATCGTTAAACTCCAACTCTAAAAACAACAAACGCCACAATAACAACACCGACACTTTGTCTACGGAGCGCGCAAATGCAAACGCCACCACAAAAAACAAAAACACAGCTTCAACGTCAACACAAAACAGCAATAGTAAAGTCAGCAACAACAATAGCTATTTGACATCGCAAACAACGCTTCGGTCTCCGTCCGCTGCCGGCTATCATCGCGGTATCACAGCACGTCGTCCATTACGTACGCCATCGTCGTCGCCCCTTGCCACCACACCGACCAATCACAGTCACAGCACAGCGCCAACGACAAGGTTTGTGTCACAAAATACCAAAACAAAACATGAGCCATATAAAGCCAAGAATCAGAAACACTGAATCAAAAAAAAAATAATAATAAATATATATATTATATCACGAAAATGCGTGCATTTTATGAATTTACGAATAACTTGCGAAAATGGAAAACAAAGCAGCACTTCCACCTCTCGCACCAACCATATTCGTAGGAATCATGAATTCGGAAGTTGTTACAGCCCCACCACTAACAATTTTATATTTCGTTGAACAATTTTGCTGCAAATTTCAACACTTCAAAAAAATCTCCGTATCGGCGCAACTCAATTATTTTTYCTTCGTTGAATTTATGTTGTTTCTGCAATTTTACTCAAATTATCGATTTTTCGTGCCGAAACAGATTATTAATTTTTTAGGTATTTAAAAATCGATGTTTTTTGTTTTTTTTTCTCCAAATTTTGAACAATAATGAAGTTTAATCTTTTAAAAAGTGTCTGTTTTAAATTATACAAATTTTTAGCTCTGAAAAAAAAAATATGATTGAGTACTATGTATATAGATTATTTAATTGCGCATGTCTCAAAGTGTTATTCTTTTCATATGCTTAAAAATGATTTATATTAATATTTTTTGTAAAAAATTTTAATTTGACCGTAAAACCTTTGTATATTCCCCTTATAGAGGTAATATTTCTTAATTTAATTTTCGTGTATAATTTTTCCTAACTTTCATATTTCAAAATACTCTTATTTCATAGTGGTAAGCGGTAACATTACAAAAATCTTCCATACTTATATTTTATTATATGTACATACTATGTACATATAATAATAATGTAATAATGTAAGTTTATTATATGTACATACAGTATGTACATACTAATAAAATATCATCCAGTCATATTTAACTAATTATATAATTAAGATAATACAGCGAAATTTTCTACAAGCATAATAAATAATAAATAATTCTTATCATTTGCCTCTTTACAAACCATGTATTCCTGTCTACCCATGGAACTCAGATCTCGCTCATATTCGCATACGCTTTCGTAAATAAATATTTCCTTTTGACAGCTCAGCTCCATTTGTCATTAGTCATTCTCTGTTGACAGTTCAGCTCCATTTGTCATTGGTTAATTTCGTTTCAGCTAACAAATTCTTCATTACTTTTCACCATTATGATTAAACTTTTATTTCAAAAAATCTAAAATACGAAAAACCATCATTTCCTCTCATTTCGCTGCATTTTATTAACTACATGTATTCTACATAATCCCATTGCTAAATTTTCTGCGTCTTATCCCTCTTTTGCTTAAATTAAAATATCTGCCCAACAAAAAAATTACATAATAACAATTAAAATATTAAATAAATTTTCACTCAACAGAGATTGGCGGTTGTATAATCCACGTTTTTATCGCACAAATAAATAAACAATGGCGCAACCACAATGAAAATTAAAACAACAACAGTAAATCGTGAAGATAAAATAAAATATACTCATATCTAAGTAAATAAAATAGAAAACAAATTTATGGAAATCGGTTGGGAGAGCAGCCGTGGAAGCTACAACAACAAAATATGAAAACAAAAATCAACACCAAGATAAAAATGTGCAATAATTTTAACTAATTTACTACGAACATTTGTAAACAGACAGTCTATTCAGCAAAACGAATAACGAAAACAACGACAAACGAAAAAATACTCGGCGATTTTTGATAATATAAGTAAAAAACAAAAAAAATATTAATCAATCAGTCATACATAATTGATTGGCATACGAAGTAATAATATTAATGGCATACTTTACACACTATATGTACATACAAACAAAGCGTCAAAGAAACGATCTTGAAACCAAACAATGCAGCCTACTTAGCCAAGAAKACATATAGATGCATTGAAATGCTTGCTGCACAACTTTCCACTTCAGTGCTGCTCAAATCTTGTTATTCATATGAGGCTGGAGTGCGTTGTAAGCAGACTTGAGACATTTATGCGGTTGTTATGAGCCGATCAAAGCTAAACAACATCAAATCTTGCAAAAGTAAATTAACAAAAAAAACACACAAGACAAACAAACTGTTATATACATATATAATTCAGCTCCARCGTTGTGGTTAATGAATTGATATACTGCTCGCAGCCTCACGTGTAAGCAATGTATATACTCTGGTGGCGATTTCTTAACAAAAGTCAGTTCACTACAATAATTTATATACAGAAGCTGTAMATATGTTTGCAAATGAAAAAATTAAGCATAAATCAATATTTGCTTTTTATCGTCGACATGTTTTTGCAAGAAGTCCTAGTTGTGCTTACTTTGCTGCTTAAAAATGTAAATACGCGCTGCTGTAATAATGCGTTTAATTAAACCGCAAATGTGCTATATACATGCAAATGAAAGCCATTCTGTGGAATAAAAAATATTTATCAATATATACTTATATTAATATTTAATAACACATGGTTATACTCAGCGCTCTTGGCTTACTGCCCTGAAGAAAGGTGCTTTTGCAACCGGAAAAAGGATTATCGCCTGTAACGATTTAATATTAAAATATTGATGGTATTTGTTAAAAACACTGTTTGGTATTGGACGTACGCTAATTATTTGGTGGTGGTTTTCTCTCACGTTTCCCACTAATATTTTATTTGTAAACGGGCTCATTTATTGTTACATAGTTTGTGTAATGCTTGCTTTTAAGGTTCAGGGAAATTATGAATTTCCTCCTCGTCCCCTCGTTTACAAAAAACCGATTTCGGCGGCAAAAGAGTCCTTGTGTGAACACAGTCCAAGCACACATAAATATTTTGCCATGACACGGGTGTGTGTAACCGAAACAGCACCAGATTTGTATCGTATACTATATACTATATTATAGGTTTTTTTTCGTTTGTAGACCAGTTTTTTTTTGCAGGAATTTCATACTTAATTTAGTTGTATAATATGGATAATAAGTTGAGTGCTATAAAAATAATATTTTTTCTAAATTAAATATTTTTGGAACTGTATACGGTATTTTCCTTCTATTTCTAAGTACCACTAGATTTCTCTAGGTAATATTTCCAATGTAAGGTGTATATAACCTCAAAATAAATTTTTCATATATTTATTCGATCGGTGAATTTATTTTACTTTTTGCTATGTCTTATCGAAGGTATATCTTAGTCTGTGAAAAATATTGAAATCACTTGAAGTTGTCTCTTGAATTTTAATCTTTTTTGTGATAACTTGTCGCCTCATAAATTTTCATCATTACCCATTTGCTTGCCTATTGCCTGCAACCTCGTTTTGCCTGCACGCCGCCCCTTATTTAGCTCTGCAATTATGCATACATATTCGTAAATGTTGTTATCATTCATGAATTACTACATTTTCTACTTGTGTGTCAATTTCCAGTTTAAGTTTGATCAAATTAATTTTTTTATGTTTAYTTAACTTTAATTATTTAGTTTTTAAGCTTGTTTAATTTAATTACGTTATAAATTTGTTAATATTGAAATATATTTTGTACAAATTTTTTTACAGTGTACATCCCCATCCATATAACGCTTCGGCCGCACGCCGCAATTACCGCTCTAAACACAGCAAACAACACCAACAGCCACATCAACCACAAACGCTGACCATAACCGAGGTAATCGATGACGACGATGATGAAGAGGTGCAGCCAACAGCCGGTGCGGTAATCGTAGAAGAGGTGGAAGATGATGCAGGACCCGCAACAGTAATCAATCCAGCAGCCGCCGCCGCAGCAGCAGCTAACAGAACGGCTACTAAATCTCAGAAATCCCCTCATCATTAAAACCTTTGAAATCCATTACATACATACATACATATATTAATTGCGCGTGGAAGTATGTGTTGTTGTAACGCTGATGAATGAACGAACGGACGCATTAATTTAAGTAGTTGACCACATTGATAATAATGAAATGTTCAAGGCGTTGAGGTATTAATGAGACGAGGCAAATGTAGTGGGGATGTGCGCAGCAGCAAGCGCCAATTAATTATTTAGTTAAATAGTCGAAGTACACGTTTGGTAGTTGAGTTGGGGAGCGCGTTGGCAGTTCGCGTAAATTGAAATGCAGCGCTGTTCGTGCGTGTTTTATAGAATTTTAAGTAGTGGGGGCATATAAGCAAAACAAAACAAAAGCAAACAAAAATCTATCTTAGGATAACACTTAATAAACCCTTAACATTTATTAGTACTGTATAAAAATAATTATCTACACTTTATGCTGCGCGTGCCCATCAATAACAGAAAATTTTAAAGATGTTTGTGCTGCGCATAACGAAAAACAAAAAGAAAACACATYAAAGCAAAAACATTCTAAAGCAGTTATTTTATGAAAAGAAACGTCAAATTAATTGTATGATTGATTTTATAAATACATGCTTATTAAAAGTCTTATGCTGTGCTGTACCGTAGCTGCTGCACCTTTCAATGCATATACATACATACAATTTTATTATAACATATAATTACAATATACAAAACTTATTTGATTTCCACCAACACATACATATACATATACTATATCGAAAATACTATAAATTCTAAACTTAAACTATGTATTATGAAGTATATTTGTAAATTTATTAGCAATACAACGATAAAAAATGTTTGCTTAAAGAACTATGAAATATATCTTAGCTATTGATGCAATATGAATTGAGATGTTGTATACAAATTGTATGACAGAAAGCTAGCTTCCAAACCATGTAGACTGCATATTTTAGCTTCAAAATGCTGGCGTCGCTGTTAGCGCTACTTAGTCGCGTTTGCAGAGCTCTAGTTGGCGAGCAGTGGCGACAATTTCATATGATAACAGCGTTTAAGCGTAATTTCATGCTCCTTTTTTGCTATGTACATTCGCTTTTAAAACGATAGCAATATTTGTTGTTTTAATAAGTGTGTAAATCAAAATTTATTTTTTCTTAAATTTCTATAAAATCTCACAATAAATTCAAATTGTAATAGCGCTGACAGCGTAATTATCCGCTAACATTCAATCAAAACATAAATAAATAGCGGTTAATTGACTTGAAGTAAACAACAGGTTATAACGGCATACATGAAAAGAAACAACAGCCCAAAAATTAAAAAGAAGTAATAATATGTAACAAAAGAAACTAATTTCAAATATAAAAAATTATATCTTATTTTGTTATTTTYATTTTAAACCTTTCTCTTTTATATTTGCGGAAATATGGTATTTATTAAATTTTTAACAGTTTTGTTTGTGTTATTGAATATTCTTTTAAAAAGAGTTGTAATGACATTTCAGTTTGTTATTGTAGCTGTCAATATGCGAAATTTTCGGCAATTCAAATCTATTCTTACTAAAGTTAAGTGAATCATATATAATTTTGCAGTTAAGTTCCACTGATAAAAATGTAATTTTTTTTGAGCATATAGAAAATGGAAAAGTTCAAGTATAATTAAATAAATAAAAAAGTACTACCATCAAGACATCTGTCACTTTGTTTTATTTACAMTTTCAAACCGCACAGATTTGGAAGCGATCAATATTGGTGAGTATAAATTTGTAGTGTTTTTCCAAAGGTGTGTTAGTAAGTAAACACGATTTTATAGGTTTATTTTAATTTTTATTGGAACTAAAAAAACTATGATGAGAATCTTGATGAAAGAGCTTTGCAATAAATCACTCACTTAAAATCGTACTTAAAATTGTAAATTTTTAATTTCGTTCCATGCGMGCTTCCGATTCACGCCAATTTCGTTTGATCATTTCAACAATTTGCTTGCACAATTGCGACTTTGCAAAGTAATTGCCCACACAAAGCAGTATGAAGGCCCAAGCAAGTATGAGCACGTAATCGACTTGCGGTACTGGCTGTAGTGGTAGCGGTCCGGTAACTTCTAAATCCTTTGGTATTGGTTCAATAGGTTTGATGCCGGTGTGGCGTGTGACGAATGCATGAAACGTACCGATGTCACTGTAGAATTTCACTATCGGCCGACCTTGATGGAATAGCAGTAACGTTGGCAAACCGACTATACCGAATTCTGTATTGAAACTGGGAAATTTGAAAGCATCAATAGCGGCAAAACGCAGTGTCGGAAATAGTATGGGCAACATGTTGGCATAGGGTGCAACATGTGCACAGCCCAAACTTGATTCGGTGTAGAAGAGCACAATAACACAACTGCCTGGCTCATGGCGTTTAGTTGCATTGCCCACTGGTTTGAGTAGCGCCACTATATCCTTAAGATTTTGCATAATTAATAGTGTGTTGTCATTGCGTGTCGCGTTATCATGTCGCTCCGGCTGCAAGCAACGCATCATTATTGGTGGTTTGCGCACAGCTTCCGTAATATTGCTAGGTAATAAATGCAATATGTGATGATCATCTGGTGCACAATATAAACGTTCACTGTATGTTATGTATGGCCGAAAATCGTAATGGCATTGGCCGCGTGAAACACCCAATTCCTCGAGTGTCATCTGTGAAATATCTTTGGTGCGTGTGCCATTGCCGTTATAGTCGCTCGCGCTGCCATATGAGAAGAACTTATAAATGGTTTTAAAAGCTGGCATTTCTGAAGTTGCTGTGCTGAGGCAGGCAGCTACTAGAAGGACAAAAAAATTGCTTCAACAAATTCAACGGAAACATTTATATTTACCYGAAATCAGCGCGATGAGGAATACACATCTGCTCATTGTTAAAACTGCAGGGAATAACACTGCGTTGTAAAATTCGGCTTCAAACGGTTTTTTATTGGYTTAAATTAATTAATTTTTAGGTAAACACAAATATAGGCAAATTAGTCTAATACTATATAGCAGACAAAACTTTTAACAACTGTCAACAGTAGCAGCTGTTATGGAGCTGTCAAATGTAAACAAATGTTGCGGATAAAAGTGTTGCCGTTGTTCGTGCTAATTCGAAGCGGATAAAAACTACACATAACGGTCGAAAGAGCGCGTGTTAACTTTTTTAATTTTAAATCTTTTAATCTAGTTTTAGTTAAAATCGCATTTCAAATGTTTCGATACGATACTCAAAAAACTATTTAAAATTTATTTAAATGGTCATATGTGTACAAAATGCTTAGAAAATATACGAAACTGGTGATTTTTATTAATTACTTTTMAAAAAATCGCTGTTGTTTGTAAATGTATATGTGATGTTTCTGTGAAAGTGTGATAAGTACTACTACAATAACAAATATTCCAAAAATAATTAGTCCAAATACATTTTGGCAACCATTTTAACAAGTAACACCAAAATATTTTCCTAAATTTCAAGTAAGTGGCAAATTTATAACAAAATGGCGTTGCGGTTGTCATCTTTGACAAATGAGTAGCACAATCTCTTGTTGCAAATGGAAAACACTGATTAATTTRTGAAGTGAAACTAAAACTATTTCTACCGCACATTACACAAACACACTTGCAAGCGCACCTTTCACACMGCTGCAAGTATTACTAAGGCGTGCACGACTTTTATAGCGCAGTAAGGCTTTTAATCAGCTGCGGGTAGCGGAAAAGGAAATGCTTTGCAAAGTGTTAATTTCCGTGTAAATGCACTCGATTGAGAAAGCGATATATATTCAAGCACTTTCCCACACCAACATTGACAAAACGCAAATGAAAAAGCATAAACAGCGTTTTAACACTATTGCTGAATCAAATGGGGCAAATGGTGCAAATGTAGGGCAATATTACCTTAGAAGACGGTACCCAAGTACATACATATATACCTATGAACTCAAGAGCCTTAATGCAATTACTATTCGAGTGCAATGAGCTACATTTCTGCCTCTAATACGAAGTGGGTGTGTCTCGGCTTTGTAATATGAATCCTCCCATTGCAATTGAATGCGCTAAGACAGTACGCGTTACACATATCAATTTATGGAGAAAATGTGATGTGGGTATGTGTGTGCTCAGCACAGCTTGTAAACATGTGTTACGAATGTCCAATACAGTTATGTGGCATGTTGCACATGCAATACGTATTGTAGACATGCCGTGTGCGCCGTTGTATGGACACAGTGAGGCGTGTTAATATACAAGCAAGCAATTCAAGCTGATAGAGATCTTGTATATTCGGGCGCATGTGATATGTTTGTTAGCTCATAAGCAATATAAGCGGAACAGTTTAATTTACATTTTATACAGTTGAAAGTTGGGCTATAACGCCTATGCCAAGTATGACATGMGATTTGTCTTACGTTGCAGCAAGTTAAATGATGTAAGCATAACATTGCGTTCAAGAAGGGCAATCAAGTAAGTATTGTGATTTAAAAATATGAAATTTCCATTACACACATATTTTTTTCCAATTTTTAAGCGGTAATAACTCCTTAAGAGATATACATTATAAACAAGGTGCGTTCCAAAGTAAACAGGTCTTTAAAAAAAAGGAASAAATGGTTTTTTCGKCAAAATCAATTTATTTTATTCAAAATAGTCTCCTTCTGCTTCAATTGGCAATCATCGCCATAAAATTTAATGTTGGCTCTTTGTTCGAAGCTCATTTTCGCACCGACAACACAAACATAKKCTACGACAGCCGGTTCTACGCACCGAAATTGATCTGGATTTTATSCGGCCAAAGGMTGTTTTTCGGTGATCTAACYCCGTTTGGATTGGTGAGTATTAAGCTTGTCCCAATTGCAGGCTTATGGATCGTATTTCGTTTTACGCTTATAATTCTGACAGAAACCTATAAACTCTTCGTTCATAGCTATAAAAAAGCTCTAGTAAAATCCATTATTTGTTGCATAACAGTAAATTTTGCAGCACAAAAGGATGTTTGAAACACGATATTACACTCGYCGAAGGTCGTGGGGTGGTTTGAAACTTGTTGAGAGAAGAATTTATGCTATTCAAATTGCTTCTTATTTAATTCTTTCTATAAACGAATGCATATTTATTAAAATATAATATGTATATCCAAGCACGTTGCCATAAATCCATCCACTTCAACTRGCTTGTAATCGCTCTTGGCTTTGCCTCTATAATAGAGCTTATTGTTATTGTAACAATGCACTACATTACTATTATTATTATTGTTATTATTATTTTAATTCATTGCTGTTGCAGGAAATGTTACAAAATGTTATGTTGCATTTGCTATTATTGTTGTGTTAGTGTTGCAATTTACGCACTGTTGCATTATTTGAGCGAGGGAATCATGCTCGTTGCGCTTGTTGCATGAATGCCTCACTGCAATGCATTCATACTTGTACGAGTATTAAGCGAATGTACCGTTGCAAACAGCCACACATACACATAAGCGCACACTATTACACATGTAAATGCATATGCATATGTAAATGTGAGCTTCTCGAAAATCCCAAACATGTATGAACATGCCTATGTATGTGCTGACATGATGCTGCCATGGCACTACACAGTATTTGCTGGCTATTGTCCTTGCATTGTTTTCCAAATAAGTAACTAATACAAATACATTATTTGGTTATTGTTTTTGTTGCACTTTTAGCAAGAAGTAAACAGTGTTGRAATTTAATTTTCAGTTGATGGTTATTGTTATTATTGTGCACGAATTTTAGGTGTTTTAATGTGCTTAGCCCTCGGGCATTGCAGCTTTACGCTGTTTTGCTTCAATAATTTCGTTTTAAGAATTCTATGAGTAAAAATAAATAAATATTTATGGTGTATAATTGTAAATTGGTGAATCGTTTAGTGAAAAATTTTCGAAAATTGCATACAAAATGAWGCATTTGTTGAAATGACCGTCGTGAGTATAAGAAACATTAATTGATTTTACATTTTTTATGCGCTCGAAAGTTTTAGTAGTATTAAAGCTTTTTGTTTAGTAATTATACATATTTTTGTATTGGATAGCCATCAAAAATAAAAAATGAGCATATTTATTGTAGCGACTTTTGGAATGAAATTAATTTACTTAAGTTTGTGGAGTGGAAGTTTGTTTTGAAAACAAAAATAAATAATAAAAAATAAAAAGTGAACATATTTATTGTAGCGACTTTTGGAATGAAATTAATTTACTTAAGTTTGCATGTTGAAAACAAAAATAAATAATAAAAAAAAAGTGAGCATATTTATTGTAGCGACTTTGGAATGAAATTAATTTACTTAAGTTTGCGGAGTGGAAGTTTGTTTTGAAAACAAAAATAAATAAAAAAAAAAAAAT